GCAATCCCATGTCCCTGTGTCCCCACACCTGCAGTGCCCCGGGTGGGCTCCACTCTGGACCCCCACAGGCACCACTGGCCTGGAGCTGCTGCCACAGCTGCATCCATGGCCACATCTGGATCTGTGGTAACCCCCGGATCTGTGTCCAGCACATCTGCATCAGTGCCAGTGCCTGCATCCCTGGCAACATCTGGATCCGTGCACCCACCACCACATCTGCATCTGGGGCCACATCTGGATCCATGTCCACACCTGCATCTGGATCTGCAACCACATCTGCAGCAGTGGTCACATCTGGATCAGTGCCCACAGTCACACCCATGACCACATCTGGATCCTCGCACACAGCTGCATCCACAGCCACATCTGTGTCCCTGCCCACATCTGGATCCGTGCCCAGGGCTGCAGCTGTGGCCACATCTGCATCAGTGCCACATCTGTGTCTGCAGGCACATCCACATCTGTATCACAGGTCACAGCTGTACCCACACCCACATCTGCACCAGTGCCAACGTCCCTCTGGGCACACCAGTCCCAAATCTGGGCTCCATGGGGGGGCCGTGATGGGCCGGGGGGGATCCAGGATCCGCCCTGGAATTATGAATCACGGTGTAATTACCCCAAATGGGCCCAGAGCTCCGGAGCTTCAATCAGGGAAATCACAGGAGTTCCAGGGAATTTTAACATCCAGAGACATTAATGAGAACAGGCTCAAACAGGGGGATCCATCCTGCACACATCCTGCATCCCTGATGCATCCATCCTGCACACATCCTGCATCCCTCTTGCATCCCTCCTGTATCCATCCTGTACACATCCTGCATTCCTCCTGCATCCCTCCTGCCCCCACCTTTCATCCATCCTACATCCCTCCTCCATCTGCCCAGGGCATCTGAGATCTCTTGGAATCACCCAGTATCCCTCGGAATCACCTGGGATCTCTCAGTATCACCTGGGACACTCTCAGCACTGCCTGGGATCTCCCAGTGTCCCCTGGGATCTGTTGGTGACACCCTGGATCTCTCAGAATCACCCAGGATCTCTCGGAAATACCCGGGATCTCTCAGGATCACCTGGGATCTCTCAGAACTACCCGGGATCTCTCAGGATCACCCTGGACCTCTCCACATTCCACAGGACACTCTCAGTATTCCCAGGATCTCTCAGTACCTCTGGGACCTCTCAGTGCTGCCCCTGCCCCCCGATGCCCCCGGATGCCCCCAATGCCGATGCCCCCAATCCCATCAATCCCACCAATCCCACCAATCCCACCAATCCCACCGATCCCGCCGATCCCGCCGATCCCACCGATCCCGCCGATCCCGCCGATCCCGCCGATCCCACCGATCCCACCGATCCCGCTGATCCCACCGATCCCGCCGGTCCCGCCGTACCTCCCGCTGCAGCACGAGCTCCTTGGTGAACAGCGTGGCCTCCTCGCTGAAGGGCTCCCCCTCCTGTGCCAGCCCCGGCAGGTTCCGGGCACCCCGCGGGCACTCGATGCCTGGGGGAGGAAGAGGAGGAGGAGGGTGAGGTCGAGGTCACCCCCTGCCCCCGCTGGGAACGGCCCCCGGGGAATGGGCTGGGCAGGGAATGGGGCATCGGAGTCAGGGGGGATGTGGGAAACTCCGGGAGGGTCCAGTGGTGGCACAGCCATGGGAGGGGATGGGATAGCTCAGGATCAGCAGGGATGGGGATGTGGGGATGAGCAGGGATGGGGATGTGGGGACATATCCAGACCCCCACATTCGCAACCTCTCTCCCTGACTCAGCTTCCCACTGCCCTCAGGATACCCCTGGGATACCCCCCTGCCCTGGAAAACAGGGAAGTCCTGCATTATTAATTATAATTTACATAATTTGCATAATTAATGAAGTGCTGGGAATTACAGCTCCATGCCGGAGCCGTGATCCTTCGGGAAGGCAGTGACAATGTGTCACATCCCCAGGGCCACAGCAGTGTCACCATCCCCCCAGGAGGCACAAGGACATGGATCTGGGAGCACCTGGAGCCCACGATGTCCCTGTGTCACCGGGACCATCCCATCCTCATCCCTGGCCCTGTTTTATCCCTGACCCCATCCCTATCACATCCTCATCCCTGTCCTTTGTCATCTCCCCATCCTGGTCCCCATCCCTGTCCCTGTCCCCACCATCAGGCCATCCCTGTCATATCCCCATCCCTGTCCCATTCCCATCCCTACTGCACACCCATCCTCAGTCCTATTCCTGTTGTACACCCATCCTGTCCCCATCCCATCTCCGTCCCCATTCCCAGGCTATGCTGCCTCCAAGGGAAGCCAAACATTTCCAGGAAATCCAGCAGGAGCTTCCCAGGCAGCTTCCAGCCCTGAACCTGCCCACTGATCCCAACCCCAGCACTGATCCCAACCCCAGAGCTGATCCCAACCCCGACACTGATCCCAACCCCAGAGCTGATCCCAACCCCGACACTGATCCTAACCCCAGAGTTGATCCCAACCCAGCACTGATCCCAAACCCAGAGCTGATCCCAACCCCAGCACTGATCCCAATCCCAGCACTGATCCCAACCCCAGAGCTGATCCCAACCCCAGCACTGATCCCGATCCCAGCACTGATCCCATGTTTCTCCGACAAGGAGCATCATGTGGGAATGAGGAGCCGGAGTCGCCCTTCCTCCTTCTTCTCCTCCTTCTCCGTGGAGGGGATTGGGAGCTGTTGAGGGTTTATGCACCACACTGGAATTTTTTCCCTCAAAATAATAAGGAAAGAGCTGAGGAAGCATCGGAATCCTTAAACCACACGAGCTGAGAGCAGCGTTTTCCAGCTGCCGGCTCCTCCATGCTGGGATCCCACTTCGGATCCTCTCCCGGCCCTGGCGCTTCCCAAACCCACCCAAGGGAAGATTCTGGAAAAGGCAAAGCTCAAAAGGATGGGCTGAACGTGCTCATCCCCCCGGGAATGCTGCAGGGAGAGGGGAAGGGGATGTTCGGCACCCGGAAAAGTTCTCCAGCACTTTAAAAATAGCAACTAATCCCGAACCCGCGGCTCCGCTGCTCTTCCCGGGAAGCCGTGACGGATTAATGAGGGATGCGGCTGGAAGTGCTGCAGCCACCGCGCTCCCCTGGGCTTCCCACAGAATTCCAGCACAGTCCTGCTGAGCCGGAGCTGGGGGATGGAAGGGGCAGCTCTGGGGGCTGCTCCGGCCCTGGAACCATCCTGGGAGGGATGGAGGGATGGGGGCAGGAATTCCACAGCATCCCAGGGCATCCCACGGACATTGCAGAGCGACCCTGGGTGTCCCACAGCATCCTGCACATCCTGGGGTATCCTGTGGCATCCTGGGGCATCCCACAGTATCCCTGGGGTATCCTGTGGCATCCCGGGGTATCCCACAGTATCCCTGGGATATCCTGCAGCATCCCAGGGTATCCCACAGTATCCCTAGGATATCCTGCGGCATCCCAGGGTATCCCACAGTATCCCTAGGATATCCTGCAGCATCCCAGGGTATCCCACAGTATCCCTGGGGTATCCTGCAGCATCCTGCAGCACCCTGGGGCATCCCACAGCATTCCCGGGTATCCCATAACAGCCTGCAGGATCCTGCCCTGGGATGCTGGGAGGGGCTGGGCCTCCCTGGCCAGCAGTGGGAATATAGAAAACAAATCTCCCTAGGGAAGCTCTCTTGGAGCAGGAACCTTTCCAGCCCAAATTTCTGAGATTTAAACAGCTTCTCCCAGCTTGCTGTGCCTGGAAAAGTGCAGGGATACGGGATGGCTCTGGGCAAGGAGTGGCTGTGCTGGGGTGGAATGCCAGGGATCGATCTCCCAGAGGATTTATGGATTTTGGGAGCAATGGGGGTGAGCAGGAGGGAGGGAACACCCAGGAACTGCGGGAGCGGGGCCGTGGACACAGCGCTGGACCAGCCCCACGGAGGGAATGCCCACACGGAAAAACTCTGGATTCCCATCCCCACCTCACAATTCCACAGCTCCAGTGCCTCCTTGGGGAATTTTGGGACACCCTGGAGCCACGTGGTCTCGCACCCCAACATTCCCCCTCATCCCTTGGGAATTCTGCCGCTCCCAGCCCCCGCCCCGGGAAGGCGTCAGGCTCCAGAGTTTTGCCAGGAGAGAGAAATTTGGGATTAAAGCAGCGCCTCTATTTGCACATATTTATAGTGCTCCGACGGATCTATTTTAGCTGGAAAGCCGGGATGAGCTCCCTCGGGAGCATCCCTGGAGTCACATTTTAAGGGACTTGGCTTCTCTTTATGGTGCTCATTTGCATTTGATATCCATAAAAAAGGCAGGCGTTGATAAAAGGCGGATATTTATCCTATTCCTGGCTTGGCAGAGGAGGGTTGGGAATGGCACCGGGGAGAGAACCAATCAAAACCAGGGAAAACAAGAGCCGGAAGGTCCTGCTGGGATCACGGCCGCTGGATGCTGTCACTGCCGGTTGGGTTTTATGGGATGGAAGTATTTGGGGGATTAATCCCCGCTGGAACAGAGCAGGGGGGAGCAGGGATCTCCATGGAGCAGAATCATGGAGCTCCAAAGAGGAGAACCACGGAACAGGGACCCCTGTGGAGCAGGGAATCTCATGGAATAACGACCCCCCAAGGAGCAGGATCATGGAGCGGAGACTGCAGCACTGGAGAGGTGCCAGCCTCTTATCCCATTCCCTATGGATCCCGTGGGCACTGGGATGCCAGAGAGGTGCCAGCCCCCCATCCCAATCCCTACAGATCCCAGGGGCACCGTGGTGGGCACTGGGATTCCAGAGTGGAGCCAACCTCTCGAATCCAGAAAGATTTCAGCCGATCCCAGTTCCTCCTCCCAAGCACGTGGGTTCATCACTCCTGACAATTCCCATGTCTCCGTGGCCGGGAAGGGGGAGCTGCGTTTTCCCAGCATTTCCCACTGGCTTTGACAATGGATAAAATCAGACTCCAGGATATTTATAGGCAAGAGCACACGGAGAAGGACAGGTTTAGGACACGCTCCACATGGCAGGAGTCAGCTTGGGATAGGGCTGGGAATGCTCATGCTCCAGCTGGATCCAGGGATGGAATGTCCTCATTGCTCCCAGTGTTTGGGCCCTGGAGGGGATGTTGGGACTGGGGGTCCCTGGTTGGGCTGGTCATGTCCAGGATCTGCTGACATCTGGAGCACAGGCTGGATGTAATGGGAAAAGGCTCCGGGATGGGAGGGGCTGGGGGGAGAGGGGGATCCTGTGGCACCATCCCGGGTCACCCCAAATTACTTTCTGACTGGGAGCATCATTCCTGGTCATCCCAGGTCACTGGTTGGACTGGGAGCATCCCCGGGAGCAGGTACGGAGCCTCCCCCTTCCCAAACCCCATCCCAGTTATCCGAGGGGAACAGTGACAGGACACAGTCCCCAGGTCTGGGGACGAAGGGATGGACAAAGACTCCCCAGTTCCATCCCTGCTCCCCCGGGATCAGCATTCCCTCAGAGGGAGTGGCCACTCTGCCTCTCCCAGTGTTTGATCCCCGGATCCGATCCCTTTAAGCACCGACTGAATTTTTCATAACCGAGTTGTGAACGATCCCTGCTCAGGGTCATCCGGCAAACCCGGTTATTGCCATGGAAACGGGAGCCAGGGATGAGCCGCCCCCCACCCCCCAGTCAGGGATCTGGAGGATCAAGGAGCTCACACTGGCAACGGGAACCCCCATCCTGGTCACCCTCCGCCTGCTGAGGAGGCAGCACATGGAAATGCCTGGGATTTGGGATGCTTATCCTCATCCCCATTCTCATTCCATCCTCAGTCTCAATCCTCATCCCCATCCTCATCCCCATTCTCATTCTGATCCTCATCTTCATCCTCACCCTAAACCTCATCCTTGTCCTCATTCTTATTCCATCTTCATCCCATCCTTGTCCTCATCCCCATCCTTATCCCAATCCCTATCATCATCCTCTTCATCATCATCATCATTCTCCTCCTCATGTTCTCATCCACATCCCCATTCTCATTCCCATCCTGGAGTTTCCCACCTGCTCCCTGGTTTGTGGTTCCCCACCTGCTCCCGAGTTTTTTGGGAGAACATCCTTCCCAACTCCGAGCTCGACTCCCCCTGTCCCAGTGCACCCGTGGGCAGCTCCGTTGCTATAACCGGGGGTGTCCCGCGGATCCCGGTGTTCCCGGTGCTCCCGGTGTTCCCGGGGGCCCACCTGCGAGCAGGAATGTGATGAGACAGGTCTCCTTGGGCAGGAAGAGCTTCAGGCGGGAGCCGCTGAACACGTATTCCACCACGGCCTCGGAGCGGCCGGCGCGCTGCAGGAACGGCAGGAACTGCTTCGCCTTCTGCGTGTCCTGCAGGGGGAAAGGGGCTCAGCCTGGGAATGTGGGGACTCCCTCGGAGAGTGGGGACCCTCCGGCATCGCTGCGTCCCACGGGGAG